TACAAATATTGTGGACAATAAAAATATTAGTCGAAGTTTAATTAACGAATTTTATTTTTCTTGTAAATAGAAGGTAAACTAAATTATTTTTTATCGTATTTGCCTAATACGTTTCTATTTCATATACCTGTACCTTTCCCGTTCAAAATATTAAAATTACTTAAATATCAAGTACTATTGTTGTTAAGCTTCTCATCGAATTTTTACACTGTAAAATAATCCTCACTTTGATCTAAGTGAATGGTCTCCTAAGTTTCTATAGCTTTAGTCTTTAGGCATATAACACAATAGTAGCTATAATGTCCACATAGGATATTATGAGAGTCATTAATTTAACTCCATTATATGTTATGGATCCATTATCTTTATCATTTGAGCACGATTCGCCATCATTTGGCTCATTTGCTGACCAAGGAGTCTTACAACTGTTACTTCTAATCACCGTCGTCTGAAGTAACTGACAGCAGACCAGTAGGAGGCTGAGCTGCAACATGACCTGTAGGCGTTTGTGTATACTAATTGTTCTTGCTTTAGGTAAATATTAGTTTTATTTTTAGAAAAAAACTTACATATAAAGTGTTAAACATTTGAGAAATCCCGTCTTTAATATTTTGAGTGTTAAGGCCGAAATGTTGACGCATGTTTAAATTGCTAGATTTGTTAAGTTCTGATGTCTTATTGATTATGATTATCCAAAATATTTTATTCAAAAGCCTTGATTTGAATCCGTTCGGAGTTTGGTCATGCCTTTCGTTAAAAGGTGTAACAAAACAGATGTATCCAAAACGTTTATGTTTAATCATACATGTACATACGTGTCCCACGAAAAGGTCCCTTTTTTAATTAATATATTAGACGCAACGAACACTCAAAAGACCTGAATCTGAACTGTCCTAACATTCACTATGTAAAATAAATACCCCTGAATATCAGTTAATACTGACACATTAGGACAAAATGGCAGAATATTGAAGAAATATACATTTTTTATGGCTAAAATACGATTGCTGATTTTGTAGTTTTTTAGCTTTTCCTCAATTTTGTTTGGATCTGTCAGAATTGATTGAGATTCGGGGAAAACACCTTTACATATGTGTTAGTCACGACTGTGGAATTTCAAGTCTGTAGCGCGCTTTATACGTCTGTCATATCAATTCAAAAATAAAATAATACCGTGGGACATCCGCTATTAAGTCAAGATTCGGTTTTATTTTTGAAAGTAAAAATTTCCATAAATATCACTTTTAAAAAGGTCACTTAGCTATAATATTGGAAAAATCTAAAATAAATAATTGAAAATTAATGTAAGTTTTTAGCGAATTTCCCTATAGGGAAGTAGCTATTACCGTAGGTCTCATGGTAACACTTAGGCCCGGGACCGATTTACTTTTTCATTTTGATGTCCCCAGAGGCCAAAAACACCATTCGTTCAAATTTTTATATATGTATATATATATATATATATATATATATATATATATATATATGTGTCCGTGAACACGATAACTTGAGTAATTTTTATCCGATTTTGATGAAATTTGGTTTAAAGGTGTAAGGCGGGATAAACTTGAATGAGTTCGCGATCCAGCATGATCGGACCATGGGAACAGGGTTTTATGGGGGGTTTTATGGGGTAAAAATTGGGTTTTCTCACTTTTGACCCTCAAAACACAAAATTTCCCAATTTTCCTCTAAACCTTCTTAAAGAGCTTATAAAAACAAACAATTCAGTATATCAAAGTGTTTTTGTACGGTTATTGGTTACGGAGAAAACTAAAAAAATGGTCAATTTAAAATTCCTATGTTATTCTTATGGAGAATATTGTAAAATGTTGTAGTTTGCTTGTTTATGGATATCTTTTGATCAAACTTGGCAAATATATTCATTTTATACTAAGCAATAATTATTTTACTTAAAACACACACTTTATTAGTTTCCTTGTAGCAGCAAACCTAGGTACTCGTTAAACCTAATGTTATTTAAATAGATCAATTGAAAATCAATTCAGCCAAATGGAAATTCGCTAAGACGGCAGGTTTGCTGCGGCGGGGGTATTTTACTTATAGTATAAGCTTTCGCACTATAAAGAGTAATTTATTTTACAAATTAAGTAATAGTATTATATATGTAGTATCAAGGTATTTTTTACCAAATCTGTTTTTCAAATTTTCTAATAAATAGTGCGATAAGTACACATAATATAACTAACAATTTCAGCATGCAACACAAATATTTCATTAGTTTTATTAGCGAATTTCCCTATAGGGAAGTAGTTATTACCGTAGGTGGCACGGTAAGACCTAGACCCGGGACCGATTTACTTTTTCATTTTGATGTCCCCAGAGGCCAAAAACACCATTCGTTCAAATTTTTATATATGTATATATATATATATATATATAGACATATATATATATATATATATATATATATATATATATATACGTCCGTGAACGCGATAACTTGAGTAATTTTTGTCTGATTTTGATGAAATTTGGTTTAAAGGTGTAAAGTGAGATAAACTTGAATGAGTTCGCGAACCAGCACGATCGGACCATGGGAACGGGGCTTTACGGGGGGTTTTATGGGGTAAAAATTGGTTTTTCTCACTTTTGACCCTCAGAACACAAAATTTCCCGATTTCTCTTTAGACCTTTTTAAAGAGCTAAAAAAACATATAATTTAGTATATAAAAGTATTTTTGTTCGATTATTAGTAACGGAGAAAATTAAAAAAATTGTAAATTTAAAATTCCCATGTTATTCTTATGGAGAATATTGTCAAATGTTGTAGTTTGCTTGTTTATGGATATATTTTGAACAAACTTGGCAAATTTATTTATTTTGTACTAAGCTATCAATATTTTACTCAAAAACACACTTTATTAGTTTCCTTGTAGCAGCAAGCCTAGGTACTCGTTAAACCTAATGTTATTAAAATATATTTAACTGAAAATCAATTCAGACAAATGGAAATTCGCTTAGTCGGCAGGTTTGCTGCGGCGGGGGTATTAAAATACTTAGACAAATCTTTGTATAAACTTATACAACAAAAAACATTTACAATAGCTTGCCATAGCATAAGATAAGATTGGTTAGATTTTATACTATTTGTGTTTTAGCATACCATATGGCGAATGGTGGATCAAGCCCATTCAATGATGTAGAATCAGAATCTACAACTCCGGAAAGCATGTATCAATACGAAACTGGAAGTTCAGTAGAGTCAAATAATTATTCAACAATACCCTTCTCTGAAACTATTACGACTGAAGTTAATGATGGAAGCTCAGGAGGCAATATGACTGACAACATTGGGGACATAGTTGACAGAAAAGAAAATAATGGAAACATTTCTATTGAAGAATCGGATACGACTGAAGGTATTAGTACATTTTTCAATAAGAACGTGAATAGTTGTTGAAATTATATAAGTTGACGTGGCATTCTCAGTCTAGTAAAATGTGTTTGTCTCATATGGCTTTGGTGGACAATATTCTCTAATATAGGTATAATAATCTTTCATTCTAGCGGATTTCAACCATTGTTTGATAAAAAATTCATGTTACAAAGTTTTAAATGATAAATGTATATATTATAACAAGCACTTTTTGTCTAATGGAGCTATAATTGTCGGTGTCCAATAGACGTTGTATCATCAGACCCAACAGGCGAATGAATCAATCATACGCTTATTGGGTCTGATGATTGGAGTGTCCAATCGAAATCGATCACCACTTACCAACTTTTATATGTATTTACCGTCTTGTTAGTTAACAGTATAAGTGTAAATATGTTATTACAAGTGTTATTAGACGTATATATTTTTTCCAGTCAATTTAATAACACGTACGATGCTGATCAAGAAGTTATTCTTTAAATAAACATGCAACTCTCCAAAACCATAGTCTTTTTCTCTGACAGTGAAATAAATACAAATATTTGTTATTAAATAATAAGTTCCAAATATTATGATCAAAAAGAATTGTTGATGCTTAGCCTAGATGTGACTACTTAATTAAATAAAAATGTAACATATTCGAAAAAATACCTATCGGATTTAACTCTTCATAAAACCCAACTACAAAAACTACTAACAAAAACCGCTTTTACTTTTCTTTACTTTTACGAAAAAATTTGCCTAATATTTAGATGACCTTCATATTTGTTGCAACTGTCTAACTTACTACCCATTGTCCTTTCAGATGCAAGTCGTATATCTGTCAAAATACTTATCGGACAGTATGATAGGTTATCTGTACTTGATCTCGCCACGAAAAAACTTCTTCCACCCCTCAGGGACGAAGAATATGTTCAATTCAGGAGCATCGACTACTTATACAATGAACGCTTAATTTTCTACTCGGCTAACAGCAGTATTATGAGGTAAACTTTTGTATAATTAAACTAATATATCCCTTAGGCAGAAAATCTGCAAACTAAATCAATTTTTATCTTCCTGATTATATTGTTCTCTTTCCTTTGAACTGTCAGATTTATTCCTTTAAATAAAATTAGGTTCAATGGGTAATTGGTGTTGCTGCTACAGGGAAGTTAATAAAGTGATTTTCATATAATATATTAGTATTAAATAAATAAATTCGCTGAATTTGATTAAAATAAACCACTAACCAAGCAAACTACTACAGTTTATGCATCAACTCAAATATTTTACCTTTTTTAGAACACAGGCAAGATCAAAAGTAATCAAATATAAAATTCAAGTTCTTAAAACTAGATGGCAGTACAATGTTTTTAGATTTTCAAATATTTTATCATTAAGATGGTAGGCAATTAGGCAATTATTGATTCGTAATACCAATGAATTTAGGTTGTTGACAACTCTGTGCAGTACTCTTGAGAATCTAATTCACACGATAGTGATTAGGGTGGTGATTATCAAATTAATTTTCAATTGATTTCAGAGCTACATTAGATGAAGATTTCCGACTAACCGAGGCCATAGTGATAGTAAACAACACAGATAATGGGCGGGTAAGCTTAGCCGTAGACTGGGTCAACAAAGAGCTTTACTGGATAGAAGAAAATGACCAGCGGCTCATGAAATCTGATCTAGAAGGTGGAAATCAAAAGATTGTGGTGCAAAACTCGACAACGTATAACTTCACTTTTCCCAATAACATTGTCGTGGACCCGTGTAAAGGGTAAGGTTGAGTTTAAATTAGCTTGAGAATATTGATTTTGATACTCATAAAACCGAATCGCTTCATGTCCTAAAATTAAATCCTCATTGAGGAGATAAAACAGTAATAATTCAGTTCCCTAACAGGCTCTTCGAAACTTTTGACACATTAGAGATCGTCTCTTTTTTATAGAACTATAATAATTGCAAAGGAATAAAATCTTTGACATCAGGATTAAATTCCAACGGTATTGCACATTTTGAAGCATGTAAAAGTCATAAAATAGGACAAATTGAAAGGGAAGACAGGAAAACTAAAAAAAAATCTTGTTGGTAAGTAGATTGGTGAAATTTAGTTGGGAATCGCTTAATGTATAACTAAAAAAAATATTTTATATTACTAATTTTATCTTACATAATAAATGTGTAGAATATGTTTCTTTGCTTTCAGCCTCGTATTCTTTGTGAGTAACTACGCAGTTTACCAAATTGAGTCAAAAAATGGAGACATAACACAGGTTGAAGTAGATGGGAATGAAGCTGGAGTTAGGGAAAGAGGTGTAAGAACGATAGCACTTGACAGAATTAATGAATATATTTACATCGCTGGGGAAGAAAATGAAAGTATTGGTGAAGAGACGGAAAACACTCATTACTTAGCAAAAGTCGCCTATGATGGTAGTGATATTAAAGAATTTCCAATGAAGGGCATGGGTGATATTTTCAGCATGGATGTGTTTAATGGTACATTATATTTAGCTGAATATAAATCCGAAGGTGTTGTTCATTCAACTGAACACCTGTTGTCAGTTAGTACGACTATATCTGAAAAACTATCCACCACAAAACTGTTCGTACCATGGAAATATTACCAGGTCAATATATTCATAACTACAATAATTCTAGTTGTAATAGAATTTAACATATTTCGTCATAAAAATGCATGGGTGACCAAGAGTTGACAAATCTACCAACTGTGTTTTTAAAGTTCATTTTAGCGAAGGATAACTATTTTAATTATTTTAGTTTATGAACCTTACCTATTCTGAATGTTTTAACTACACTACGTCAAACGGGAGGAGTCTCCTTACCTCCCGAATTGTAGTAAAGTCCAAACACTTGTCGTAGGGAAATTCCATATACTAAAATACGGGGCTCTTCAAAAATATGGACCCAACTTCATGACTTTGTATCTACAAAAAGTATAAATCGGACTTTGCACCATTAAATAAAGGAAATTTCAAAGTGTTTTAAACATATTTCCATAAGCGGCCGAAAAAGTTAGCCCAAAATTGAACAGCCATTTTGGTTTACAATTGTTAGTAGGATGCCTATCATGCAACATAAAATTTTCTTTGTGACAGAGTTTGCAAAACTGAGTCTTCTTTTCGCATCAAATTCGATAATCAACCACCTGCTAGAAAAAGCATAACTCATTGGTTTAGGCAATTTGAACAAATTTGTGACACAAGAGATGCTGTCTGATATGTGGGAATCAAATGGCTCTCGCTTAAATGTGTGCCGAGCATTTGAATTTATTGTAGATACAACTTTGAAATCTTCTCTTTCAACTTGTTCCCGCTTTACATTTCGTGATACAAAAACCCAAAACTGGGTCTATATTTTTGAATAGCCCTGTATATCAATCCTATATTCTAATATGAGCTATGTCTGTTTGTCTGTAACATATACCTAAAAATCCATCGGATTGATTTTGTCTAAATTTTGGAATTATGGACTTTTAGCCCTACAAACGGGATTTGTGACAGACACTACCTTAGGAAAATTCGTATTTCTCTACACAACTCGTTTGAAAATTTAAAAATTTAACATAAGTCTAACATAGGCCAAGTAACTATGTTGGTTGAACAAAATAACAAGAAAAAGTAAACAAAAGAATTATCATATGTGTTTATAACAAGCCATCCACAGTACACTAGCAAATTACAAAATACAGTACAAAGGAAAAGAATATCAGTTGTAACTATTAAGCAAAGATTACACTGAAGATTATTCTATATATGGGAATCTATTTTCGATCAAAATTTTACTTAGCTGTATCCTACCAAAACTTAATCCCCGAAGTACTGTGGCATTCCAAGTGAACTAATTACTTCTGGGGGTTTTATTTGGCATAAAACTATTACCACATGCTAAATCCCAAAGAAATAAGGACAGAATCTCAATTTCTTTAAAAGTAGTGAAAAGGTGAAAAATCTTTGTCACAAGCCATTTTGAAACTACTGTACTATGATTTTGTTTAGATAATATTTTTATCTGCTGTCATTGGTGAGCTAAGTCTAACCACGGGATTCATTTACTAGACGGTAGAAAAATTCTATGCAAGTATCACTTAAACTTTAACAAGATCAGTTTATTTTTCTTTACTTGCATATTTTTACATTACAGAGTTGTTATTATTTCAGCCACCAAATGTCTTTGGTTTGTATTTAAAATGTTTTCGTAAATTATAAAATGTCTGTTTACGATATTGTTCGGTTAACCCAATCAAATACAACCGAGCAAGGCTCGGTATATACTAAATAGGCAAACGTGATTTTTGTCGGCAGAACACCTCGATGGTTTTGCAATATCTTATTGGAAATATCTTATAGTGTAAATGTTATATAAGGTCTTACATGTTGAAAATGTTCCGGGTGGTATGATAAAAATTGATTTTTAAATAGAACTTTTTTGTAATTGCAGCCTGATTGTAGGTAAATGATTCTGGATTTAGATCTTTACAAAGTAAAAGAATATTGCATTATGTTTTTTTACAGTTGGAGCCTAATAAAATGCGCAATACATACCCTCGTAAAATTAATGTAAATACCTTTTAAACATGTATTTTTATATTTTAACGGATCAGAATAAAACACACAGTGTCTTTCAAAACGAGTTGTTCCTTACAATATCAACGGACGGTTTGAATTCACAGTCATTTTTACAGGACTTGCAATTAATTGTAACACTTCTGAAATAATAACTTTGACGCTGTTCTGTTCCAGAGCATTTATAACGTGAAGATGTACGGGCCGAGGATTCAGACCTGTAGAGCTGACTAAAAGTATCATTTTTGCTGTTATTGAACCATTATTTACCAATTTATAAATTTATTTACTATTTACTGACATCATAAAGAAAATGTATATTGTATTTTGTAATAAACAGTTAATTTATAGCTTGAACAGTATTGTATTCTGTGCATGTCACCCATGTGCTCATATACAACTATTTCTCTAGTTGTGAAGAATACGTAAAATAAAACAAATAAAATGTAATAAATAGATTTTAGCCTTTTTTATTCTCTAATATTCTAGCCCGGAGTTGTTTTACACTTTACTTGAATGAATGAATGAATGAAAATACTTATTTATTGAGTCGAATAATTATTTTTTAATGAACATTTGTTTAAAATACTGTTTACAGAGAGGAAATCAGATATTTGAGAATGGACTACTCTTACAAGTGCCTTAAAGAGGGAGTTGGAAGAATACTAATTGGCCTATAATCTTGAGAAAGTTAAGGGGATGAGATCTTATTCAAAAGGCGGACTAAAGCAGCTAGCAGACTTCCATTTTTCTAGGAAAATACCTGTTCTTAGAGAAGAATTAAAAATTAAAAGTTACCGTAGGGAGGAGAGCAAACAAAACCCGTTTAGTTAGAGAAATTGGGATATTGTCAGAACCAGTGGCATAAGACGTAATTCGCCTAATAGCGTTCAAAAGATCAGACTGCAAAATGGTTCGAAAATAAAATTCGGTAAAAACATTGTTTGAATTGCATTGAAGATTTAATTGATTTAAATGGTTTTGGATAGTTGTGCAATTTGAATTGGTAGATGCTGATAAAAAATAATCATTCAAAAAATTAAAGAGGACATATACAATGTTAGGCTTTACTTGTTTTCCAAGACCATTACGCCATAAAACAGAACAAGTCTGGAGTTTTCCGTTTAAAAAAAATAAGTCAGTGAACAGTATATGAAAGTAATGAAGGCGAGAGTTGCGTAATTGTTGCTTAACTTGGTTTCTGAACCAACGGTATTGGGCCATTAGCCCCACGTCTCTACTTGACTTCACATTGACCTCACATTGACTTCATATTGACTTCATATTGACTTCACACCTTTTCTACACCGTATTGACTTCAACTGTTGTTTATATTGCAACAGTTGAAGTCATTACGGTTTATTTTATTTTATTTATGAGAAATGTTTATTATTTATTTTGTATCTATTTCTATTTATTGTTATGAGAAAATAATACTTCATAATATATCATTCATTATATGCATCTATGTGTACATACACTTAATTTTATTTCGAATTACTATATAAAATGCATCTTACATTATTTATTAGCACTGTAAAAATTAGCTATTTTCGTATTATTTTGTCTTTAAAAAGTTAAATTATTTTTTTAGTTCAATCAATGTTTATTACTTCAAGCTAGAGGGGTTCTCATCTTCATCAATTACATAAAATCCACAGATGATTGGTGGGATTAGACCCCGGGACCTCAGGGACCGATGTCCCGAGGTGCTCTACCACTAGCCAAGCCTCCTCTCCTACATAACCTTCATTGAATTTAAACCTACAATAGATCTTGTTACCGAACCAAAAGGTTATGATGGAATAAAACTTCAAACCCTCTGTCATAGAATTTATTCGATCGCACACTTCAACAATTGAGAATGATTTCTTTCTTATCACGTATATTATACAAATCGATCTAAAAGATATTACTTTCAATACAACGAAATGTTTTCCTATTCACACTTGAATTTTTTTTACCTCTTCTTACATATTGTCACCGTTGATAACATAACCTAGATATTGCACATCAAATACTTTATCTTACATAGTCTTTTTTTTAGTTTTCACATTATTATATTCCTGTTATATGAGGTTTACGTTGTCCTCCCCCGTGTGGTATTCTGATGTTCCAGTCCCTTCCTGTTGTTCCTTCCCGTAGTTCCTGGAGTAAGGGACGTCCCTTAGTTTACTCTCCAGGAGTCCCCAGTACTTATCCAGCAGGTATACCATCCCTAGTGCTGATGCTAGGACTCCTATGATCAGCAGGACGGCAATGACCAGCGAAGCAGCAACTCCAGAACTGGTAAGGCGCGCCTTTTCCAGCACTAAAACATATTATCAATTTATCAATCATTGAGATGGGGATGCCACCTAGGTGCATATTTTAACCCAAATATGAGTGAAGGATGAGTGTAGAATGGGGTGTGATGACCTGTGTAGCTTTGTTACTGACTAAGATCAGCTGTTTCATTAGTCAGGATCATTTATTTAAAGGCCAATGATCAGGAACAGCTGGGTCCAGTTTCGAACCATCAACATACACAACAATAATAATTAAATTACACTAAATTATTTAGCGTAGCAATAACAATCCACAAAACGTATAGCATGTAACAATATTGAAAAGTCTAATCTTTGTGGTTAGGCTCATCCAGCGAAAAATACGTTATCTTCAGGGTAACTTGACTTTCACACAGTTTATTATAAATTATCAAGAGATACCAAGACTTGATAAGTCAGCTGAGTGAAAGTGAAGATGTGTTAAAGATGGCACGGAATAGCATTATCATTATTAACAAGTAGAATGGGATGCCGCGTATTTTATATGAGTGAAGGATGTGTGTAGAATGAAGTGAGATGACTTGTGTAACTTTGTTATTGAGTAAGATCAGCTTTTTCATTAGACAGGGCATTTTATCAAAATCCACCAACATCTTTGCCTAAAGCTATCAACGATTTTGACGATTTTTGGTCGCTGTCCAAAAACCATGATTCTCCGACATTCAAACGTATTAGTGGAAAAGTCAAATGACTTGTGAATATCAAAGGTTGTTTACGCTGCTATTTTAATAGCTAAACGAGTTATTCAAAATAGAAAAACATGGATATTGTCATATTGACATTAGCGTTTGTGACATAAACCAGTCGCACAATATGTTAGTGTTTCTATATTTACCATTGAACACATAAAAGTGTAAATGGTTATACATGACCTTAGGAGAAGGGAAGCATAACTGTGACTAATGACAAGCAATGACATATGACCTTGACTTTTAAAATCATGAGATGGTCTGGACAACCAATTAACTTCTCTTGGTGGATTGCTAATGGGTTTATACCTCAAAATCTACATGTAGTTTTTATTCAAAGCGAGAACCAATCCGCCCTTATATACTAATTAGGCTATAAATTAATTATGACATCTGGAGAAAGAACAAGTGAACATTAGATATTGACAAGACGATGATTTCATCTCCAAGTTCCAAAAAAGGTAAAAAATGTCTATGGTATGGATGAAATACAAAAAAATCCCATAAGCTTGTAAGCACCTACCGTGACAAGAAACATTATCAGAGTTAAGTTCTTGTCCTGGTGGACATTTGCAGTACGCCCAAAGCCTCTTGCGGTTGCTTCTAATGGCACAATCGTAAGAACAGTTCTTGTCCTCGCAAGGGTGGATCTTCGGCCGAGACTGAAGTAGGGGATGCACCACCCTCATGTGCCAGACTCCCTGCGGGACTAACATATGTTTAAGTATTTTCAAAAAAGGAAGCTAATAAGCTATAGTATGTATTATGAATCCTGTCCTGGTCCCTGAATTATTTATGAAATCACCATAGCAACCACACATTACATGGGAATCCAATGATCATGATAGTCATGAAGTAAGTTGATGCTGTTGTTGATGTTCCTATGTAGTAAGTGGATGCACAATATGGAATTTTTCCACTCGATCCAGGATAAAAAAATAAATGTCAGAATCATGTTTATTCGTTACCTGTGGTCTCCAAGAACATGTATGAACACTGAAGGCCAAAAAATACGTGTCAACGTGTCAATCAAGTTCGTTACTTCATTGTAACCGATTTTCTTTTATAATCTATGTCGCTTTCTGGTCGGTTAGCTTAAACACTGTTTTCTAGAAAGCATATTTTATTTTCTCGTCTTTATAAAGCAAATAAAATTGTATTTTGAAAATATCTCCTTACGGATATGTCATTGCTAGGCCTACTTAACTTATTAACATTAACATCATGTAAAGCTCAGATTTTACTTTTAAAAGCTATACTCCATATGATGGAACCTTTCTTTTGGCCCTCCGTGTACCTGGGCACTGGAAAATGGTTTGAGACTCGAGGCAGCCGTGTGTAGTGAAAGGGTAAGAAGACAGGTTCCATCATACAGATTATAGATCAATCTTCTACATAAATTAACGAATATTTTTATACCACGGAAAAGTCTGAAAAAGAGAGAGAAAAAATTAATAAATTACTAAAATTACTGTAATTGGATGTAAAAATGTATTAGGTTAATAAAATACATTTTCGTAATTCATGTTATGTATATTAATACAGTTTGTGTTTCACGCCCCTGCAATAGCTCCTAAATGGGTTACAAGATGTACTTAATATAAAATGTTTAAACATATGGAATAAAATATTGGAAAGTTTTTACACTTTTGTAAATTAATTATAGAGTCTCTTACCAAAACGCGTCTTAATTTGCTAAGACAATTTAATGTACAGGGTCTCAAAATTTAACCCTTGACTAAATGTTAATACCACCACACAACCATAATATTCATTTTTCTCCCCTCGATAGCTGCACAGATGTTCGGTAAAACAATCTTCTAAATTGATTGCTTGGCTGCTAGACTTACCCTCTCAACGATGTGAAGCATGTTGACATCTTCTGCTCGGGTTAAGTTCAGAGGGGCTTCATATAGAATATCTCTTACATTGGCATAGTTGACCCAGAAAATCTGCAGACATCGGATCATCATTAATAGGTACATTGATATTTTCCTTTCTATATAGTGAATAGGTAATTATGTAATAAATTTGTAATTCCCTAATGGTTTTAGGTCCTGTGAATTAAACATTGTTAGTTCATTGAGACTATTTTCACACTCTTATTAACTGAAACCTTCTTAACATAAATATTTACAGTGTTTATGGCAATCCTGTTTAAAAGTTTGATTTAATATTAGAAATTTAAGATACATTGCTTAGGACCACCAGGTAGTGATGAAATACCTGCAGAGTGTAATTTGTGAAAATCTTTTGTCACTGGATAGAGGTTATCCACCAGGGATATAAGTGTGATATAATATATCAACCAAATGTGTGGGTACACATTGACGATTAAATATGATGATGGATATTTGACATAAA